TCCTCCAGTGATAGAGCAGGGGGCAGCGGAGTGGGGCCAGACCCAAAGTGGCGAGGGGGTGGGGGTGTAGCAGGGTTGGACCTGAAGCAGCGGGGGAGAGGGGAAGGAACAGGGTCAGACCTGAAGCAGGGGGAGGGGGGTGGGGTTAGAGTGGGATTGGACAGAGAGCAACACGGGGGGAGCAGGACAAAACGAGGAGGAGCAGGGTGGGAAGGAGGGACGCAGGGCCGGAAACAGGGCTCTGTCCCTACCGCCCCCGCCCCTCCCCATTATTCTTGATGGGTCGTTTGCTAGTGTATAGAGAGAGAGAAAAACAGAGAGAGACTGAATAAGAACAATATATATATGATGATAATGTCAATCTGTGTGTGTGTGTGTGTGTGTGTCTATATATATATATTAGGCCTGTGAGAAGCAGCTTGTATACTGTTCCAGGGACAACGGGACTAGAGGGAGACCCCGGCCCAGAGCCAGAGGAAATACTCACTTATGCTTCGCAGGAGGTGGGAGCAGTGGCGGCGTGCAGTCTGGGGAACCACCCGCGCAGCTCGTTAGCCACGCTTTCATACAGCTGGGGCGGAGTGACGTCAGAGAGAGGCGCGGCTCAGCGGAAATAAAACGCGGCCCCGAAGGCAGAGGGGGCGCGCTGCGGGAGGATGTGAAGCCTGGGGGGAAGCCCAGGAGTGGAACCGGGCACCCGCAAGGGGCCTTTGCCATGGGCCGAATAGGCTGCAGCAGCTCCGGGAGCGACGGAGGCTGGGAGAGCCGCAGCGCCGAGAAAGAGCGGCCACGCGCCAGCGCCCCCCCCCGGTGTGTTGGGTCTTTTTTTTTTTTTTTTTTTTAAACAGCTGGGAGCTGGGGCTTGGCGGGGCAGTTATTGATGGGGCTGGGACAGTGGGTGTGGATCGGGGGGGAGCAGGCAGGGCATGGAGCTTGGTGGGCATTCCCCCATGGTTCCCTTCCCCCCTCCTCCACCCCACCCCGCCACCCCCTACTTACTGGCCCCGAGTCC